TATATATATATATATATATATATATATATATATATATATATATATATATATATATATATATATATATATATATATATATATATATGTAAGCGTAAGTGACCACCGCAAGCCACTAGATGTAAGCGTAACAGAGATGGTCTTAGGGCGGTCAATGAAAGGGGTCTTAACTTGCTGGTTTATTTCTGAAGGTAGATATGAGACCCCCCGTGTCCCCGGGTGGAGGACGAGGTGGTGGATCTGGACCCTGTGTGGCTTGGCCTGTCTGCCGTGTCTCCCGTCGTCTTAGGCTCGTGTCCTTTTATGAGGTGGTTTCCTTGGAGGGCACCACCTGCGTCCTGCGCAAGGAGAAAGGCCGCTGCTTGGACCAAGGTGTGAATCTGCCATCCGGTCTTGCTACATATTGTTCACATCGCTCGGCCACGCGTAAGGCTCGTCCTCGAGCCGTCTGCAACGCTTGAACACTGCAGTAGCACATCGGGATACAGGTTCTATTCGGTATCTACAGATGGTTCCTGGTGATCCGATGGTCGCTAGGGTCATTGCGTGCCAGGGTAGCGGGTGCGGCGGAGGTTTCGCACTGAGGTGCAACATTCAGTAGCGAGGAGGGTCAATCATCTTCAGAAGCTGAAATATAAGTGTACCAGGCCAGTAAAAGGGCTAAGGAGGAGGATAATAATGTGTTTGTCAATCACCTTACTAAGTTGCAAGAAAAAAAATGAGGGCATAATAAGAGCAATTTGTTACGAGAAGGCTAACGTGTCAAGTAAGTGAGTGTTAATTACTTGGATTTGTTAGGATTAGCGAGTTCTGTAGAGTACCATCATACCGAGGAGAGAAAAAATAATTGGACAAAAATTCCATATCTTTGGGCTTAATAGGCAAGTATATATGCTTCGAACATATAGGCAGCTGGGCCTGAACTTAATTCTAACAGTGCGCGTCGCGGCGCCTCAATCGTATGAGCGTAAGTGTGCGGCGTGCGCAGGATTCCTTCGTTTACGGCCATGAGCCGGACGTGCGCGTCTCGGGCACTTCAATCGTATGAGCGGAAGTAACATCTCGGTGCGGCGGGCGAAGGATTCATTCGTTACGGCCATGAGCCGGGCTTAAAATTAACTTGCGGTGATAATAATCATGTAAGCCTATATGAAGTATGGTGTCCTGTAATGCATTATCATCGTTATGATCATTTGCAAGAGACTACCATCAGTCAGATACAAGTTACATATTCACCAATTCCTTAAACTAAAGAAGCATAAATTCTAGCATAGATGAGGATAAGATATCGAACTTCGAGAGGAGGTCATGAAAGCGATTTGGGTTCAGTTGAAAGTCTTAGTGATGGCACTTAGTAAAATTCATAATCCTAGAGTGAATTCCGTGTAGGGTGGGCAGGTAGGTGGGTTTGGGCCTAAGGCAGGTAATCGACATGTATCTTAAACCTATTTGTGAAAAAGCGAATGATTAGCGTGGGAAGTATAAGAAAATACAGGTGTTGTGAAAGACAGAACGATATACGCACATTCATAGAGGAAGTAGTAACGAGTTACTTACTAATAGGGTACAGTATGCAGGTGAAAACAATAATATCACAACAAAAATCGTAGCAGTAAATATGAATAACATAACGGGGAAAATCGAACATATCAATACATAGTTATTTGTCCTAAGAGAAAATGAAATATAATGAACTGCAATGTGAGAACAACATTAATAAACATTAGATAAAATACAATAGCAGAAAAATACCATAGCAATTGAAATATGGTTAGGGAAGGGGAACGAGGTGTGAGGTGTGGTGTGTGTCACTTGGGTTTGATCTCAGTGTGTGACTTCGCTTGTTGTGTTGAAAAAATAATGGTTGACAGCGAGTTATGTATTATATAGTTAGTAGTTTGTGTCCGTTGAGTGGCATGTACTTGAACTTGAAAGAAGGCAACTTGTATGCAAGGTGTGGGTGGGTATAGGGAGGGCAATAGTTAATCTGGCACTAATAGGTACACTTACTTTTAATAGTAGCTAGGAAGTATTGGTGGCGCTGAGTAGAATGGCGGCTCCATGTTCGTGCTGACGAAGGCTCGTGAAGACTTAGCGAGGTAGATGAGCCGGATTGGCGAGTGTGGCGGCGTAGAGTGCGAGAACATATCGTCAGCGACTTCGTCAGGAGGGTAGCACAGACATGAGTGGTCAGCACGAGGTAGCAGGGTAGACATGGTGCGAAGAAGACTTGGTAGCGATAGCTGAGCGTTAAAGGAGGCGAGGAGGCACTTCGGCAGGAGTAGTTTGTAGGCAGATAGCATGGATCAGCGTCGGCAAGGAGCGTAGTGGTAGGTGAATTACTGTCGGCGTTGTGAGGCTCTTGATCACCGCTGCCATCAGATGTAAGCGTAAGGCGTTGTGAGACTCTTGATCACCGCTGCCATCAGATGTAAGCGTAAGTGACCACCGCTGCCATCAGATGTAAGCGTAACTGACCACCGCGAGCCACAAGATGTAAGCG